AAGCATGGAGCCGGAAGGAAGTTCAACAAGCGAAAAGTGCGAGAAAAGAAGCTATCAACATATAACTTACGTTTACATCTAACCAGCTCAACTATAAATTCATCTAGTATTGCGCTTAAAGTCATACAGTCTAGGTACCATAGCGAAAAGTTCACTCGAACAATTACCATAAAAGTATATATTTTTTTTAAAAAGCACAGAGAGACAACTTCACGACGGTAGACAAGTGAGAGGTTATCTTGACAAGGCATTTAAAGAAAAGATTAGTCAATTTCCATCGGCCAGTTAACGTGTGAGCATGTGTGTGGATCCGAACCCTTCCCCCCAGAATATTCTCGTCGGCGTTATCTGAGAGACTATCCATCACCACACTGGAGTCAGTGTTTATATAACAACATTATTTTTTCCACGTATCAGGCGCATCTAGTCCGACACGTGTTCACCTGTTAATATCGGGTAATTCGCGGATACCTACCCCCGGCTAGGAGGTTACCTCTCCTGTGAACCCTGCATTTGGCTTCTTCTCTGAAGGACACTGCGCAAAATCAAGTCCGACACGTGTTCACCTGTTAGTATCGGGTAATTCGCGGATACCTACCCCCGGCTAGGAGGTTACCTCTCCTGTGAACCCTGCATTTGGCTTCTTCTCTGAAGGACACTGCGCAAAATCAAGTCCGACACGTGTTCATCTGTTAGTATCGGGTAATTCGCGGATACCTACCCCCGGCTAGGAGGTTACCTCTCATGTGAACCTCTGAAGGACACTGCGCAAAATCTATTCTGACACGATCTGCGACGAGACGCAAAGTACATATCAGTTTGAGATTTTATATGTATTCTATGTATTTCTTGTATTCCTTGTAGATTACCTTTTGAAAGCCATGGCATTGAGAACGTGACTCTTTCAGTCAGACACGATGTAGGTCAAAAGAGATTTTCTGGTTACCGTAAATATTTCTTAATGCTGTATAATCCGGAGGGAGACAAGTTGATATGCAAAAAAAAAAAAAAAAAACACGGATGATATCATCATCATCTTGTATCTCCAAACAATGTTTGACAGTACCATCTTTCCTTGACCTTACCCTGTTATCCATTCACACCGACCCATTGGGAAGTTGCTCGCTATTTTTTCCTACTCCCCCTTCTCTCAATACATCCTGTGAGTATTGAATTTTCTATGGTGCCCTTCCTCAAAATGTGTAAAAAAAATTCAGTTGTCCACTTCTGATTTTATGTTTTTTTTTCTTTGTTAATATTTACCTAATGCAAGGTCAAAGAGCCACTTGAGGTAGAGTGGAGTTGTATTAGCGTAAGAAAGAGCAAGATAATAGGAAAGATGGCTAATTCTAGACTTAAAGAGCTCAAAATTTAATTAGGAAATGCAATTTCAGAGTTCAGGCGGAGATGAAGTAAAAGTTCCTAAACAGGAAACAAGGGATGAACCTCTACTCCTGTTCAAGGGAACGGCAAAGTTTGTGAACCGAACGATAAGCAAATCTATTTACATCTATTTATGAGTGTCATTCCAGCACAAAATTTTTATTTTGTTATAAAAAAAAAAGAAAGTTTAAATTTTGTGCATTTTTATGGCTCAAGCGAAGAAGCCCCAAGATCTTGTGAATCTACTTTTTTTTTGAATATTCGGAAGGGAATTTTACATATATTGGCCAATGGGGATCAAGTTTTTCTAGCACCTAAAAAGTTTTGCCGGAGCCGAATTTTATGATCCCATTTAGAATAAAAAGAACTGCTATCAGCAGTTAACAGAAAGAAGAGAGTTGAAAAGAAAACGGCAGAGCATCAACTTCGGCCGGGGCAGTTTTCAAAAGACATCACATAAAAGGACAGTCCAGTGAGAGGTCAAGATAGATTCAAAGTAGATTGATACAACAAATTTCACACCCCAGAACCTACAAGAATTTGCCTATGTCAAATCCCCTTCGAGCTGAGAGGTCCTTTACAGAGCCGTTACAACAGAGGTTGGTGTCTTTTAAAAGACTGTGCTTTGTGCAATATTCTGAATCCTCTTACTCTGAGTCTTCCCTTTGTATTTTTGGCTGGATATATTTTGTATACGAGTCCGTTGGACTTACCAACGCTTTGGTGACTTGTATTTTTCCTGTTTCCGAGTGGAATCTTTTTATTGCCTCAAATTGTTTCCCTGCCAAAAGAGCGCACAAAAGGAAATTTTTCTGCAACCCTTATTTTGTACTTTTTCAATTTGTAGTTGTAAATAAATATGTTCCTTTTAGAATTCTACGCAGTGGTCATCTTGTTTTTTAAGTTGCGCCTATTCTCGAGAATTGCTGTTTCTACCAAGAAAAAATTTGTGTCTGGCACAAAAACTTACAGTTGGTAGGAAAGCAATTTTTTTAATTTTTGCATCTTACACAAAAAATGTATTGTTATTGTAATGTAGCATAATTTTTATACCAGTTTCCATCTTGTTAAGAACTTCCTTGTTGCTTATGTGTTATGTTGGATATCATAGAATGTATTAATCGATAAGGAACACTGCAAAATTATCTACACTATTTACATTAATCGGATTAGTGTCCTCATTTTTGTCGCCATATTTATTACAACATTTCGGCCGTTGTACGCTCCTGCCTTCTTCAGGTGGCTGGAATGTCGAACTGAACCCTTTATTTCGCTCCATGGGGTAGACTGTTCTATTTCCACGTGCCATGTCAGTTATCAGTTATCTCCTGTTAATTCCCCTCTCCAAGTTCTCCACTGCCTTAACCGGGTATTGAACTCACACTCTTTGGGTCCTGTCACTTGATCTAACCAATGCCTTTATTCACTGTGCCATGTGTCCTTGAGGACATCTGTGTATGAATTTCTGGTCATCAGCCATCATTTTTTCCAGTGCTCATATTGCAATTTTTGCTGTTATCATTTCATGTTTTTACCAGAGTTAATATTGCAAAAGTTGTAATAAATATGGCGACAAAGATGATGACAATAGTCCGAATAATGTAAATAGCGTACATAATACCTCATCTCAGAAATATAGACAGATACTGCAAAATTATCGTATTTAAAACATAAAATTTGATTTTTGTATTGTTTACAAAAAAGAAAAAAGAAAAGAAATACTGTATGCGCCTAATATAAGTCATTATTTCTCTGCATTTGGCTGAGTTTATGTAAATGGTTGGCAGAACAGGGAATCGGAGGGTTAGTGAAAAGACAAACGTTACTAAAAGAAAAAGAGAGGATAAAAAGTAATAGAAAAGTATGATCGAACATATCGTGAAGGGACTCAGCACATAAGAAAATAATATTTAGACTTCTATTCTTTGTGTTAATTTTCGTAATATTGAGAGTGGATTTTTTGTGAGTAAAGCGTTTCTCTTCTGAATCCCTTTGTATAAGAAGATAAGGAAAGACTTAATTAAAGTTTGGTCGTGTGTCCGAGTCGCCTGGTATTCAAGTAGTCGGGTGTCCGAATTTAAAGAAGCGATTATCGTGACAAGGGAATTTAAATAAGAGATTATCGTGACAAGGGAATTTAAATAAGAGATTATCGTGACAAGGGAATTTAAAGAAGCGATTTTTTTAAGCGTTTCACCCCAAGCAAGGCGGGAAGCCACTAGGACGCAAGGGGTTTCAGAAAATTTGGAGCAAGATCAGATAGGAGTGATAGAAGAAAGGATGAGGAGAAGGGTAGTGGATAGATCAAGGCAACTGGAGATGTCGATTGACATTACATTTGAAGATCGTAACAAGGGAATATAAAGAAGAGATTATCGCGACAAGGGAATTTAAAGAAGCGATTATCGCGACAAGGGAATTTACAGAAGAGATTATCGCGACAAGGGAATTTAATGAAAAGGTTATCGTAACAATGGAATTTACAGAAGCGATTATCGTGACAAGGGAATTAAAAAAACAATTATCGTGACAAGGGAATTTAAAGAAAAGATTATCATAACAATGGAATTTACAGAAACGATTATCGTGACAAGGGAATTAAAAAAAACAATTATCGTGACAAGGGAATTTAAAGAAAAGATTATCGTAACAATGGAATTTACAGAAACGATTATCGTGACAAGGGAATTTAAAAAAACAATTATCGTGACAAGGGAATTTAAAGAAAAGATTATCGTAACAATGGAATTTACAGAAGCGATTATCGTGACAAGGGAATTTAAAGAAGAGATTATCGTAACAAGGGAATTTAAATTCAAGTTTTCAGGGTTTACGAGTGGCTAAGGTTTTTGAGTGCTCAGGGTGTTCTAGCTGTTAAGAGTATTAGATGTTATCCATTTTTTTTAGATATTTAGAAATCCGGGCAAAGATGGGTATTCGTGCAAGTAAGAAAATAACTTTCAGATCAAAGAAAAACAAAATGCCCTTTTCCTTTGCGGTCAGTCCAGTGCTTATTGAATGAATGACTGTCAAAGTATATTAATATCAACAGTAAAGACTTTCAGAATTCTCGGTTTCTTTCACAACGAATCAATTCATGTCTTATTAGACTCGCCCTTTCATTCACACACGAAGATAAGATATTATAATTTATTTACTTTGGGTTCAGTCCCAAAGAGGGTCTATTTACGTTTTTTCAAACTTTTTACATTCATTTTTTCCCCTCTAATTTAGGTTGCTTAAGTTTACCAATAATTACATCGGATTTGAATGTGCTAATTAAAAGTTTAACATTTGCGTATAGGTCCGAAAATAGCCAAAACCACTGGTAGTGCTCCGCGTCTCCCCGAAGCCCAACCGGGGACTTGATAAGATTCGAAAGGAAAGGATAAGTCACAAACCATTAGACATTTATACAATTTCAAATCAACTTTCAAGTTTGGTTTTTAGGGCTTCCTAAAGAATTTCCTGACCAGTCTTTACGCTCCATTGAAACGTCAATAGTTTTTTTTTTTTCCTTTTGTTTTCCAATATTCGCTTTTTTTGTCTTCCTTTTACGTTTATTACTTCTTCCTTTTGATTTCATTTTTTTATTCATTATTTCTATTAACTTTTTCATGATTTATTTTTTCTTTTTCCTCTTTTCTTTCTATTTTGATTCTTTATTTTGCTTTTCTTTTTCTTTTTCTTTTTACTCAAGTTTATTTTCTTTTCCTTTCGTTCTTCGTTTTTATTCTATACTTTCCAGTATCTCTTTCCTTTGATTTCTTTTCTTCTTCTTTTTTATTGTTCTTTTCAGTATCTTTTTGCCCTTGAATTTTTTCTTCTTTTTTTCCTTCTTTCATTACTTCTACTACTAATAATGCTACTAGTACTACTACTACTACAATATTTACCACACTCTCTCTTTTATATTTTCTAGTATCACTTTTCATTGATTTTCTTCTTCCTCTCTTTCCAATATCTCTTTCCCTTGATGATCATCCTTCATTTTTTTCTTCTTCTCTTCTACTATTATCTCTACTAGCAGTTGCTACCCTCTTTCTTTTAATCTCTTTCCTGTGATTTCTTCTTCTTCTTCTTCTTCTTCTTCTTCTTCTTCTTCTTCTTCTTCTTTCTATGATCACTTTTCCTTGATACTCTTTTTCTTCTTTTTCAATTATTTCTACTACTACTCCTATTACAATTAATACTATCATTCCCACTCTTTCTTTCTTTTTATTTCTTTTCTTTTCAGTATCTTCTCCCTTTGATTTCTTCTTCTTCTTCTTTTTTCTATGATCACTTTTCCTTGATACTCTTTTTCTTCTTTTTCAATTATTTCTACAACTACTCCTATTACAATTAATACTATCATTGCCACTCTTTCTTTCTTTTTATTTCTTTTCTTTTCAGTATCTTCTCCCTTTGATTTCTTCTTCTTCTTCTTCTTTTTTCTATGATCACTTTTCCTTGATACTCTTTTTCTTCTTTTTCAATTATTTCTACTACTACTCCTATTACAATTAATACTATCATTCCCACTCTTTCTTTTTTTTTTTTTTATTTTTTCTTTTCAGTATCTTCTCCCTTTGATTTCTTCTTCTTGTTCTTTTTTCTATGATCACTTTTCCTTGATACTCTTTTTCTTCTTTTTCAATTATTTCTACTACTACTCCTATTACAATTAATACTATCATTTCCACTCTTTCTTTCTTTTTATTTCTTTTCTTTTCAGTATCTTCTCCCTTTGATTTCTTCTTCTTCTTCTTTTTTCTATGATCACTTTTCCTTGATACTCTTTTTCTTCTTTTTCAATTATTTCTACTACTACTCCTATTACAATTAATACTATCATTGCCACTCTTTCTTTCTTTTTATTTCTTTTCTTTTCAGTATCTCCTCCCTTTGATTTCTTCTTCTTCTTTTTTCTATGATCACTTTTCCTTGATACTCTTTTTCTTCTTTTTCAATTATTTCTACTACTACTCCTATTACAATTAATACTATCATTTCCACTCTTTCTTTCTTTTTATTTCTTTTCTTTTCAGTATCTTCTCCCTTTGATTTCTTCTTCTTGTTTTTTTCTATGATCACTTTTCCTTGATACTCTTTTTCTTCTTTTTCAATTATTTCTACTACTACTCCTATTACAATTAATACTATCATTTCCACTCTTTCTTTCTTTTTTATTTCTTTTCTTTTCAGTATCTTCTCCTTTGATTTCTTCTTCTTCTTTTTTTTCTATGATCACTTTTCCTTGATACTCTTTTTTTTTCTTTTTCAATTATTTCTACTACTACTCCTATTACAATTAATACTATCATTTCTTTCTTTTTTATTTCTTTTCTTTTCAGTATCTTTCCCTTTGATTTCTTCTTCTTGTTCTTTTTTTATGATCACTTTTCTTGATTCTTTTTTTTCACTATCATTTCTTTTCCCTTTTCAGTATTTCTCCCTTTGATTTCTTCTTTTCTTCTTTTTTCTATGATCACTTTTCCTTGATACTTTTTCTTCTTTTTCAATTATTTCTACTACTACTCCTATTACAATTAATACTATCATTGCCACTCTTTCTTTCTTTTTTATTTCTTTTCTTTTCAGTATCTTCTCCTTTGATTTCTTTCTTCTTCTTTTTCTATGATCACTTTTCCTTGATACTCTTTTTTTCTTCTTTTTCAATTATTTCTACTACTACTCCTATTACAATTAATACTATCATTTGCCACTCTTTTCTTTCTTTTTTTTTTTTATTTCTTTTCTTTTCAGTATCTTCTCCCTTTGATTTCTTCTTCTTCTTTTTTCTATGATCACTTTTCCTTGATACTCTTTTTTCTTCTTTTTCAATTATTTCTACTACTACTCCTATTACAATTAATACTATCATTTCTTTCTTTTTTTATTTCTTTTCTTTTCAGTATCTTTCCTTTGATTTCTTTTCTTTTCAGTATGATCTTTTCTTGATCTTTTTTCCTTTTTTTCAATTATTTCTTCTTCTTCTATTTTTAATACTATCATTGCCACTTTTCTTTTTTTTATTTCTTTTCTTTTTTCTTCTTTTCAATTCTTTTGTTCTTTTTCTATGATACTTTTCCTGATACTTTTTTTCTTCTTTTTCAATTAATACTATCATTACAATTAATACTATCATTTTCTTTTTTTTTTTTATTTCTTTTCTTTTCAGTATCTTCTCCCTTTGATTTCTTCTTCTTCTTCTTTTTTCTATGATCACTTTTCCTTGATACTCTTTTTCTTCTTTTTCAATTATTTCTACTACTACTCCTATTACAATTAATACTATCATTTCCACTCTTTCTTTTTTTTTATTTCTTTTCTTTTCAGTATCTTTGATTTGATTTCTTCTTCTTCTTTTTTTTCTATGATCACTTTTCCTTGATACTTTTTTTTCTTCTTTTTCAATTATTTCTACTACTACTCCTATTACAATTAATACTATCATTGCCACTCTTTCTTTTCTTTTTTTATTTCTTTTCTTTTCAGTATCTTCTCCTTTGATTTCTTCTTCTTCTTCTTTTTTCTATGATCACTTTTCCTTGATACTTTTTTTTTCTTTTTTCAATTATTTCTACTACTATCCTATTACAATTAATACTATCATTGCCACTCTTTCTTTTTTTTTTTTTTCTTTTCTTTTTCCTTTGATTTCTTCTTCTTCTTCTTTTTTCTATGATCACTTTTCCTTGATACTCTTTTTTTCTTTTTTCAATTATTTCTACTACTACTCCTTTATTACAATTAATACTATCATTGCCACTCTTTTCTTTCTTTTTTTATTTCTTTTCTTTTCAGTATCTTTCCTTTGATTTCTTTTTTCTTTTTTATGATCACTTTTCCTTGATACTTTTTTTTCTTCTTTTTCAATTATTTCTACTACTACTCCTATTACAATTAATACTATCATTGCCACTCTTTCTTTTTTTTTTATTTCTTTTCTTTTCAGTATCTTCTCCTTTGATTTCTTCTTCTTCTTCTTTTTTTCTATGATCACTTTTCCTTGATACTCTTTTTTTCTTTTTTTCAATTATTTCTACTACTACTCCTATTACAATTAATACTATCATTTCCTCTTTTCTTTCTTTTTTTTTTCTTTTCTTTTCAGTATCTTCTCCTTTGATTTCTTCTTCTTCTTCTTTTTTTCTATGATCACTTTTCCTTGATACTCTTTTTTTTCTTTTTTCAATTATTTCTACTACTACTCCTATTACAATTAATACTATCATTGCCACTCTTTCTTTCTTTTTATTTCTTTTCTTTTCAGTATCTTCTCCCTTTGATTTCTTCTTCTTCTTTTTTCTATGATCACTTTTCCTTGATACTCTTTTTCTTCTTTTTCAATTATTTCTACTACTACTCCTATTACAATTAATACTATCATTGCCCTCTTTCTTTCTTTTTTATTTCTTTTCTTTTCAGTATCTTTCTCCCTTTGATTTCTTCTTCTTCTTCTTTTTTCTATGATCACTTTTCCTTGATACTTTTTTTTTCTTCTTTTTCAATTATTTCTACTACTACTCCTATTACAATTAATACTATCATTCCACTCTTTCTTTCTTTTTATTTCTTTTTTTTTCAGTATCTTCTCCCTTTGATTTCTTCTTCTTCTTCTTTTTCTATGATCACTTTTCCTTGATACTCTTTTTCTTCTTTTTTCAATTATTTTACTACTACTCCTATTACAATTAATACTATCATTTCCTCTTTCTTTCTTTTTATTTCTTTTCTTTTCAGTATCTTTCTCCTTTGATTTCTTCTTCTTCTTTTTTTCTATGATCACTTTTCCTTGATACTCTTTTTTCTTCTTTTTCAATTATTTCTACTACTACTCCTATTACAATTAATACTATCATTGCCACTCTTTCTTTTTTTTTTTTATTTCTTTTCTTTTCAGTATCTTCTCCCTTTGATTTCTTATTCTTCTTCTTTTTTCTATGATCACTTTTCCTTGATACTCTTTTTCTTCTTTTTCAATTATTTCTACTACTACTCCTATATGCTCCTGCCCATATGCGTCAACAGTACTTCATTTCAGGCTTGAGCCTGCTCTTGTAAAGTTAGAGGATAGCAGAAGTAAGGTATTTGCTGGATCGGTACTGGAAATCAACAGCATCTTTAGCGATGGATCGTATGTACGAGTCCCACTTGACGGAGGACTGGCCGTTAACAACTACCTTCTGGGACCTACCCGTTAGGAAGACGTACTTTATAATTGAGAAGTCTCTTCTAGTGATTCTATAGAGAGCTTGTGCACACCCTGTCAAAAGCCTTTGAAATATCTAATACGATGATCCTGTATTTATTGTCTAATGCCTCACTGATTCCGTAAGTAATGGCAGTTAAAACATCAGCAATGGGTTGGGCCGATCAAAACACGCACTGCTTGTTGCACAATAGGTTATTCCTATTTTGATGATCAATGACCTTCTTGTTGATTATAGCCTCAAAAGTCTTGCTTACTGAAACTGCAGAGACTGATTGGGTCTATATTGATAGAGAGATGAACGCTCACCCTATTCTTTAAAACCGGGCATATACTTGACACATTTCACAGACTTTGAAAGTATTTCTCCTTCAAGCTTCGGTTAAATAATTTCGCTAAGATTACGGATAATTCCGGGTCGATATTCTTAAGGAAAACCACAGGAATTTTGAGTGGATCGGTGGATTTCTTAGGGTTAAGACTTTTAACAAGTCTTGAAACACCTCGAACTGTAATAAAACTACTGCTGAGACTGTGTTTAGTGAGACTGGGAAAGTTGGGAAGGGGGTGGCCTATGTCATCTAACGTTGAGTTAAAGGCAACTGTTCTACATTAGGCACCCTAAAAGATTGACTGAAATCGACTCTTACAAAAACTCATAGAGTGAAAAGTCCATGGCAAAGTGAACCTACGAACAATTTTTTAAGTATCATATTTCTTCAGGACGTACGCGATCATGTCTAATCTTAGATCCTGTTATTTTATTATCTTTGAATCATTATGTCTTCTTGAGAAAAATAGTAGACGGTTTTCCTGTTGCTTTATTTACGGATTTGTATTCAAACTTCAAATTCTGGCTGAGGTAGATGCATTCACTTTCGTTCAAATATTTCTGAGAAATGGCAGTTAGGACATCAGCAATGGATTGGGCCAATCGAAACCCGTACTGCTTGTCGCAGAAAAGGTTATTTCTATTTTGAGGATCAATGACATTCTTGTTGATTATAGCCCCAAAAGGCTTGCTACTGACACTGAGGAGACTGATTGAGTCTATATTGATAGAGGGATGAACGCTCACTCATATTTTTTTAAAACCATTCTTTAAAAATCAATTTCTTATTTCTCGTCTCATCTCTTGGTTAAATAACATGGTAGACATAGCTCTCTAACCTTAGTTGGCAACCAGCCAAGTAGAAAATTATATCTGTTTTCAAATCTGGTTGAGTGTGCGGCTAAAGCAGCAACACTAACGTTGTGCAGCTATAGATCTATACTCTATAAGGATATTTAGGAGAGAAAGATGAAGCTCTATTTCAAGTAGTCTTTGCATACATATTCGTCCTGCCAAAACGTCTTTGAGTACCCTTTGAGAAGAATATGGTATGTATAGCTATCATCGAACAAGTAACAGAAAAATAAAAAATTGTTTATAATTTTATTCGATATATTGTTTCATATATTATGAGATTTGTTGAACATGGTTCGTACAAACCCTTACCCACAGACGAAACGTTACTAGCCCTCGTTTCAGGGCAAAAGTTCACACGAGCTACATTTCTTGCTTTCACCAGTTCAGACCTTTACAGGTAAGATCCGCCATGTCACTGAGAGAGAATCGCGCCATTCCCAACCTCTGCGCATTGCATTCCAAAACAGTAGAACAGACTGGCGAAATCACTACACTCTTAAACAATTCGAGTCTAGGATCGATCGTTATCTATCCTATATATCCTCATAATATTCATTCTTCGTCATTTTACGACCTTTAAACAATTTATTTCAATAACCGTCTATCTCGGAGAGCTTGTATTGGGTGAACAATATTATAAAAAAAGTAAATCAACTGACAGGGCTATTTTAGACTAACACACACGTACATCATTTTCTGTTGTTATTTTGGTATAAAATTTGGTTATAATCACACACACACACACACACACACATATATATATATATATATATATATATATATATATATATATATATATATATATATATATTAAGAAATGGACAAAGTCCGACAATTTATTTATTAAAGACATTTTTATGTTTAACGTTCTTTTTATAGATACAAGTATATAAGTAAATGCTCTGTTTATAATAAACAGTATTAAATAACATTAAATAACAATATTAAAAAATTTCTCGGACATTCAGGCCGGTAAATGTTGAATTGACAATGTTAATTATATTTTATGAATATGTCCTGAAGATGGTTTATTAGACCGAAACGTCCGACGTTGACATATTAACATTAAAACAGCATAATTGCATATAAGTATTTTTGTTTGTTTTTTCCGTATATATATATATATATATATATATATATATATATATATATATATATATATATATATATATATATATATATATATATATATATATATATATATATATATATGCCACTTCAGAGTAGTCTAATGGTGAGCAAGCTTGTCTCGCTATATCAATTACGACTGAATACTGAGTTCGATTCTCACTGGCACTTTCTAAGAGACTGTTAGACAATCATGGGTACCTCGAGGTGGTGTAATGGTTAACAAGTTTGTCTCGCTAGATCAAGTATGACTGAATAGTGAGTTGGTTCCTAACTGGCGCTTTTGACCTTGTGCCACATCTAAGATACTCTTAGACTATCACGGCCACCTCGACGTGGTGTAATGGTTAGCAAGCTTGTCTCACTAAATCAATTACGATTTAATAGCGAGTTCAATCCTCGCTGGGTCTCCCATACTTTCGACCTTGTACCACACCCAAGCCACTCTTAGAAAACCACCTCATAGATGGCAAAAAGAAATTCTTCCCAACAGTAAATGGGTAAAAGCAGTAAAGACAGCCTTCTGATTTTTTTTAGACACAGGTGACTATGATTTCGACATGGAGCACCAAAACCTTGGTCGAAGAACGCTCTCTTTGCCCACGTAGTAACTGGAAAATATCTTCAAATTCATGTTGGCGGCGATATAGGGTTAATTTGAGAGATTTTGAATGAGTTGGTTATCAAAGGTGTAATACAGAAAGCAAATTGTCTGTTTCCATCGGAAAAAAGAAGAGAAGGTTTATGGATTTCTAATCGTAAAAATGAACGAAAAATCTAGAGAGAGAAAGATTTTATTGTGCAGACACTGAATTGTTCTCACGTTCCCAGTTTGAGAACACGTGTATATCACCCTTAATTCTTCAATGTTCATTTTTTTTCCATTCTTCTTTATCAGCATCTATTAAATATCAGTTGCAAGAAGACAGAATGCATGGTTGTTTGTAAGAGGAACAGCCTAGCAGGCATATTACAAATTGGACATAGAAAAATCAAACAAGCTGGGAAGTGTTTTAACAGAGGACGGAAACGCTAAAATTTAAAGGCGCATTGGGATAGCAAAAGATGCCTTTCAAAATCTAAGCAAAATATTAAGAAACAGAAAAATTTCGTTAGAAACAAAGAAAGGGGTACTGAACTGTTATGTAATATATATGTCAGCGAATGGTGGACAATCTCCTCACAGATGAAGAAGTGACTTGAAGCAACAGAATGGTTCTACAGAAGGATGTTGAGAATACTGTGAACGGAACATATGAGCAATGACGAAGTTTTAGAGAAAATGGAAACGAAAAAGACAGTTATACTTAACATATGGAAGAGAAAATTAAAATTTCTAGGCTACATAATGAGGAAAGAGAGTTTGGAAAATTTGATACTCACAGGAAAGATTGAAATCAAGAGGGACAAAAGAAAACAACGCATAACCGACCTAGCGAACGGAAAATTCTTTAGGAGAGTTTAAGAGAAAGTTTATTGAGCTACAAAGGACAAGAAATTGTGGACAACAATGATCGCCAAGTTCCTGAAGGGACACAGCACATAGTAGAACACTAGTTAATTAATGGCCATCGGTAAAAGGAGGATGATTTCGAAATGCGATTTGCAGGTCAGGAACACTAGAATCAAGCAGACGCAGAATTTTAAATATTTGGGAAGCGTTCTGAGAGAGGACGGTAAATACGACACTAAGATTCGAAGACGTAGTTGGATGGCCAAGGATGCATTCCAAAAGCTGGACAGAGTATTGCGGGACAGAAGAATTTCTTTGGTAACGAAGAAAACAATACTAAGCTGTTACGTGACATCTGTCTTACTTTACGGCAGTGAAGTTGAAGAAGAGACACGAGGTGACGGAGATGTGGTTTTACAGAAAAACGCTGAGGATATCATGAACCGAACGTGTGAGCAACGATGCGGTCTTAGAGAGGTCGCAAACAAGGAGGAGGCTTATACTTAACATCAAAAAGAGACAGCTGAAGTTACTGGGATACGTAATGAGGAAAGAGGGCCTGGGGAATCTGATACTCACAGGTCAAAAATAGGGAACGAGAGACAAGGGAAAATAACATATGACATACCTAGCGGTCTCAAGCAAATGGATGACAGAACGTGGTCTGGGGGAGGTGACATGGGAAGGAACTTGTTGAGAGTTGCAAGGAATAGAAGGAGCTGGAGAGCCATGATCGATCGCCTACGTTCTGAAAGAACACGGTACATAGAAATTACTTTTCTTCGGTTCCTTCAGACTTGATTTTTTTTTTTTTTGCTATTTTTTAACTTCTGCAATATTTTGATTATTTCCATCATCTTCTTCAGTTTCATCTTCCTCAATTTCTTCATTTTTCTTCAATTTCTCCTTCATTTTTTCTTCAGTTCTTCAGTTTCTTCTCCCTCAATTTCTTCATTGTTTCTTTCATTTCTGCTTCATTTTTTCTTCAATTTTTTTTCTTAATTTCTTCTTCATTTACTTCTTCAGTTTCTTCATTTCTTCTTCCTCAATTTCTTCATTTTTCTTCAATTTCTCCTTCATTTTTTCTTTAGTTCTTCAGTTTCTTCTCCCTCAATTTTTTCATTTTTTCTTTCATTTCTCCTTCAATTTTTTTTCTTAATTTCTTCTTCATTTACTTCTTCAGTTTCTTCTTCTTCCTCAATTTCTTCATTTTTTTTCAATTTCTCCTTCATTTTTTCTTTAGTTCTTCAGTTTCTTCTCCCTCAATTTTTTCATTTTTTCTTTCATTTCTCCTTCATTTCTTTTTTTTCTTAATTTCTTCTTCACTTCTTCAGTTTTTTTCTTTCAATTTCTTCATTTTTCTTCAATTTCTCCTTCATTTTTCTTCAGTTCTTTTTCTTCTTTTTCTTTTGTTTCTTTCATTTCTTTCTTTTTTTTTTTTTTCTTCAATTTTTTTTCTTCATTTCTTCTTTTCTTCAGTTTCTTCTTCAATTTCTTCCTTCAATTTCTCCTTCATTTTTTTTTAGTTCTTCAGTTTTTCTTCAATTTTTTCTTTCATTTCTCCTTCATTTTTTTTTCTTAATTTCTTTTCATTTTACTTCTTCAGTTTCTTCTTCTTCCTCAATTTCTTCATTTTTTTCAATTTCTCCTTCATTTTTTCTTTAGTTCTTCAGTTTCTTCTCCCTCAATTTTTTCATTTTTTCTTTCATTTCTCCTTCAATTTTTTTTCTTAATTTCTTCTTCATTTACTTCTTCAGTTTCTTCTTCTTCCTCAATTTCTTCATTTTTCTTCAATTTCTCCTTCATTTTTTCTTCAGTTCTTCAGTTTCTTCTCCCTCAATTTCTTCATTGTTTCTTTCATTTTTCATTTTTTTCTTCAATTTTTTTTCTTCAGTTTCTTCATTTCTTCTTCCTCAATTTCTACATTTTTTTCTTCATTTCTTCTTCATCGTATCGTCTTTAATATATATTATTCATAAAATCAAGTAACTAATTAATGTCTTAGTTTTACCGCGATTTATATTTCTCGATTCAAAACAGATTTTTGGTAAGACGCGGCCGATTTTGAAAAAGAAAATCGTTGATTTAAATTCTTCAAAGAATTCTACTTTTAAGTAATATAGTCACTAAAAATTACCATTTCTTAAGTTTTCATAAAATTGAGTAAGTGGGGATAACATACGTAAAAAGATATTTTTACCAAGATTTTTTAATAAAAAAATTTCAAAAATAATTTCATTGATTCGTGAATAAGTCCCGAAAATTTAATTAAAATCCGACACAATTATTTGATTTTTACAAAAATTTCCAAATTAATTTTTCAGCAAAAAAGAAACTAAAATTTGTTATGCTAAAATCAAAATTTTGAATGCTCTTAAAAAGGAGTAAAAAAATTTAATTAGATATTCAAAAAATATTCTAATCATTCCTCTTAAAGATTTTGACGATAAGTCTATATTTTTATTACGTTTGAAGCATGTTTTCATCATGGTATGCTGATTTTTTAGCGATCTCATGGACGTACCTATTTCAATATCTTCAGTAATATCTTTTGCGGTTCTAGATGAAAATAAGCGCACAACTTAGCAGGAAAACAACGAGAAACTTTTAAAGAAAAAGAAACTTAAAGAAAACGTATACTTACAATCAGAAGGAGATTTCCGGATACATAAAGAGAAGTTATTTAATATATTTGTAAAAAGTTACTTAACGCAAATATATACAGAAATCTGTCTATATTTCTGAGATGAGATATATATGCACACTATTTACATTATTCGGACTATTGTCCTCATCTTTGTTGCCATAATTGTCACAGCGTTTCGGCCGTTGTACGCCCCGGCTTTCTTCAGGAGGTTGGAATGTCTACCCCAGCGAGCGAAAGGGTTCAGTTCGACATCCCAACCTCCAGAAAAAGGCCGAGCGTACAACGGCCGAAACGTTGTGATAAATATGGCAACAAAGATGAGGACAATAGTCTGAATAATGTACAAAGACAGGAAGCTGTGGAGAGCCATGATCGCATTCGTCCTAAATGGACATGACAAACAAAAGATTATCATTCTCTTCCTTATTTTCCTAAAATTAATGTTTGATTTATTGTTATTCGCTCTTTTTAAATGAAGCTACCATTTGCGTTCGAAAGATGTTTTGCCGTAGATACCATTTCTACAGTAAGTCAATATTGGACCCCCTAGTGTGTGTGTGTGTGTGTGTGCGTGTGTTGGGGTGGGGAGCAGGAAGTCAGGTTACGCTCAAGCTAAATAGCATTTTGAGAACGATCAACGTCAAAAACGTCTCTTGTTCCCTCGTCAGATAAACATATGTCTTTTGATAAGACGGTCTGTTTATTTGTGTAGAAGGATGAGCTAATGTTTTTGTAAGGGACACTATGAACCAGCTCCGTTTCTCACTAACATAGTAATGAAGATGCGTTTTATCTGCCCAACTGGTCAGACGGCTGGCCATATTAGTGTTAAATACTGTCTGCTTTGTTTGTAAAGTCGATTTATGAGGTCTTTAGCAGGCTTTTTTTTTTCTTTTTGCTTCGTGCTCCGCCCTCTTGGTCAGGTTTATTCGCAACATCTGGTGACCAAATTGAAGATAGAAATGAGGACATTTTCACTGTTTTTAGAATAAGGAATTCATATAATATAGCTGTTTTCAGTTTAGCAAAATCTGTAATATTATATATATATATATATATATATATATATATATATATATAGTATAAAATGACAATTGGAAAAAAAATCTTAGATTTTGCCGACGCTTTTCGTCTTCCGACTTTTTCAAGGGAAAAATGAAATTGAAATGTTTTTGTTGTTATAGTTACATTAAAAACCAAATTTAAAAAGATAGATTTTATCTGTCTTGTCCACAGAATTGATATTGGGAATTTATATATATATATATATATATATATATATATATATATATATATATATATATATATATATTTGTGTATTTAGGAAGCAATCCGTCTTTCATGCACATTTCATTGAAAACGACAGATAAGGTACTTTTATTTAGTTTTTTATTCAATTTCTCATGCGTTCTAATATTTTTTTTTCTTTTGAGATGATAAATTATATAAATCTGTCCGAATTTTCTTGTTATCCAAGCGCTTTCGCCTATACATTTAGCCATTTTCAAGGATTATATTTTAACTGTTAAAATAAGAAATATTAATAAAAACAAAAAGAAAAACAACACTTAATAATATTAACTTTGAACATGGACACAATATCTTGACTGTGTTTTGAAAAATGAAAAAACATTTTATAAAACATACATACAACAAACTATTTCTTATTTTAATATAATCCTTGAAAATGGCTAAATGTATAGCCGAAAGCGCTCGGATAAAAAAGAACATTCGGACAGTTTTTATATAATTTATCATCAGAAAAGAAAAATTATTAGATCGCATGAGAAATTGTATAAAAACTAAATAAAAGCACCTTCTCTGTCGTTTTAATGAAATTTATAATATATATATATATATATATATATATATATATATATATATATATATATATATATATATTGTTTATATGTTATTTTTATCGATATAATTTATTTAAGTAAATGCTTTGATTTTAATTAAACAGTATTAACTACATTTACCCGCCTGGATGACATGAATCGAACCTGTAAGATACCTAGAATAAATTCAAAATTAATTAGTCATTTTTAATTCTCTAACATGTTCTCAACAAACGTCATTTGATCTGACGCGCTGTTACCATTCAGTCTCAGAGAAGCGTATGTGTGTTTTATTTTTTATTTATTTATTTTTTAAAAGCAATTCGCCCCAAGCAAGACGGGAGTGCGACTAGTACTAGGGTAAGTAAGGGAAAAGACTGGGTATGGTGGGGTGAGGAAAGGATAAAAAGAAAAACGGTAATCAAAGTAACAAAAGATGTCGATTGATATAACATTTAAATTTTTGAAGATTATAGTTATCAGGGAAGCAAGTAAGAGGAAGGGAGTTTCACTGTCTGGAAATGTGAAAGAAGCTGTTGGAGTAGAAGAGGCGATTACATTTAACCCTTTCGACTGTAAAATGGTAGAACCGAGATGCTAATAGCACGCTTAAATTCATGCAGTGTGTGTGTTAGAATTACATTAGGCATTAAATTATATCATTTAGTGTTCTCTATGATTTACCTTTACATTGAGAATATTTTAGGACGTTCTTAAATTTAACATTTGGAAAATTTAATTTTTTTTTTAACTTGTGCTTATAGATACATGCTGCAAATTAAAATTCTTACATTTACCTAAAGTCGAACAAGGAACGAAACACGTCGGTAAAGAAAGTTTTTTTATAGACGACTGACAAGACACTGGAATTCATCTTTTTATTAATTTTTTTTTTAAATTCAGTATAGGTATTTTATTTTCTGATAATGTCCGATATGAACATTTGTATTTACATATACGTTTATACACAAACACTCAAAATCAAAATTCTTTTGAGAATACAGATGGTCGTTGAATTATTTACACTAGTTACAATGTTCGGACTTTTGTCCTGATCTTCGTTGCCATATTCACGACGTTTCGGTCGTTGTACACTCCGGCCTTCTTCAGGTGACTGGAATTTCAAAGTGGATCATTTATTTCGCCCACCCGGGTAGATTATTCTAATCATGCCTCTTCCGGGTGCTTCAGCATCATTTATCTCCCTTTGACGCAACTCTCCAAGTTTTGTTTATAGGTATTGAACTCACAAATCTTTTACCAAAACTGTTATCCACTGGGCTTATGTGAGGATATCCGTGCATGAATTTTTGTGACTTATAAACTCAGTAACCATTTTCACCAGAGCTCATATTGCAATTTTTTTGTTATTAATCCTTTTCTCTAGCACTCCGTGTTACTGGTTTCCATATTGTATTCATTTCTATGCTTGGCCGGCTTAGGAGATTTTTGTGGTCTAGCTGATTCCTTAAGTTTTTTATATTTTCCAGTGATTTTCACTGTCCATTACTTCAACCGCATCTGATTGAGGAGGGGATCTCCATTTTTTCTTCATATGTGGTCACTCACACCTGATTTTTCTATTTCACCTCAGGTCGTTAAATTGTAGGGAGCATTCCTATTTACGATTAATAAATACACTTTTAAATTAATAGTAGTATCACTTGACTGCTACAATTTAATATAGAATAAGATTTTAAATTTTATAAATTATTCGAATTAATTTTTTTTTAAATGAAAACAATTCTTGTAATAATACATTATTCATCAGAAAAAAAAAATTAAGGATAGCCATAATATGTCCATAATATGTTTTACGCATAAAAGCAATTAAAAGCTTTTCTGAATCCGACAGTTACCGGATTTTTACAAGTATTTCCAAATCAATGTGTTTCTATCGGTTAAAATAGCTCAAATTCTTCTTAAAAACACTGTGACGCTAGAAAAAACAAAGTGTTTAGCCAAAATTTCCAAGGTTTAAAAAAAAAAGGGATTATTTGTACATCAAACAACATTTTGATCTTTCCTCTTAATAATAACCCATTGATTTTAACGATACAATTGCGTTTTATTAGATTTGGAGGCATTATTTAATCATGTACAGTGTAACCCGGATATAAGAGAGTGGTCGGGACCGGAGAAGAAGTCTGTTATATCCGGGTTTCTCTTATATCCGGGTTTGGTCTATTTTATATACATTAACACAGGCTATAATTTGGGACCAGAGAAATCTCTCTTATATCCGGGTTACACTGTATTTCATGTATTTTATTAGTGAGTTTTAGAAGCTACCTTAAGATATCAAAGAGATATCAAATTTTAAATCGTTAGCGTCCTGACAGATTCTTGAAAAAAATTTGAATATATTATGTTAGCACAATTAAATTGATAGAGATTCAAGTATTACAAACTTATTTTATAAGAGAATAGGTTTATCTTCCAAATGATACCAATTTTAGCCTCCTTGTTATAAAA